GATGTCACTCACGCTCATGGTTGCCGAAGCAATGACGGGTCCAACTGCCGGTGCCTCGGTGTCAGTCAACGCAGCGACACTGACCTGTCCCAGAAGTCTTTTTCACTGCCCTGGGCTCGCAGTCCAATAACGGCCAGATTTCCTTAAGGATGTCCTTGGTGAAACAGTGGAAATCATCACCTTCATTTCAGTCTTTACCCGAGTGCACATCTTGTTAACATTCTGTGCCACGGACAGGAAGTTCATAGGCACACAGCCCGTCTGCTTCCATCAAAGCCCCGCGGTCTCGATGACACACCCGGGACCCCGAGGTGCAGCCTGAACCACTGCTTTTTTCATGAAACACCATGTGCGTTCGTCTTCGCAGAGACATTACTGTAAAGGAGGCTGTCACTTCAAGGAAAATAAATGCAGTATTTGTTGCCAATGATAATATTTAAGCTTTCAAACGGAAATTATAATTTTGGAGCACTTGGCTCACCCTCCATGAGCTCGTCTACTTCCCGATTGAGATATAATTCATATACCATAAAATTCACCCTTTGAAGTGGTTTTTATATAGTCACAAATTTGTGTGAGCACCACCATTATCTAGTTCCAGAACATTTCCTCACCCCAAAAAGATACCCGGTGCCCATTAACAATCACTCCCCACTTCCCTTTCCACTCAGCCTCTGGCAACAACTAATAGACCTTCTATCTCTCTGAATCTGTCTATTCTGAACATTTCCTATAAATGGACTTATGCAGAAATCAAGTGATGTTTTACATTACTGTATGAAATACAAAAACATGTAGAAGATCTACAAAACTCAGTGAACCAATATTTTCCAAATGACTAAAGCACTATGTTACAAAATCATCACTAGACAAAAGAGCCATTGTGCAAGACAGATGATCAATGGTTTTTAATGTACCATTTTACCAAAAGTTCATTGATGTGTTGAATTCCACACTGCAAATAACCCCTAAGAAATACTACTGTTACGTTTTGTTGTGATATCAACCGTCCCCAATTATTTAAAGACACTATAAGAATATTCCACCCCTTTCCAACTACATATGAGGCTTAATTTTCTTCATGTGTTAGTCAAAACCACATATTACATCAGAATGAATGAAGAAGAAGTAAGAATCTACTGTCTTCTATTAAGCCAGAGATTAAAGAAATTTGCAAAAATGTAAAACAATGCCACTATTCTTACTAAATCTGTGTGTGTGGGGGGGGGAGAGATATGGTTACTTTTCATAAAAATGTGTTTATATTAACATAGTAGGCTCATTATTGTTTTAAAATTAATACATAAATATTTTTAAATGTTCTTAGTTCTGCTTTCTAATATGGTAAATATCAATAAGATACAGCCTACAGAAAGAAAGAATCTTTGGGTCTTCATTGGTTTTTAAGAGTACAAAGGGGACCTGAGACCCAAGAGTTTGAGACCTTGAGTCCAGCACTGGTACACTGAATCTTTCAGTAGACAAGTAGACACACCGATGACAGCTCTTCAGTCATCTTACTGAACCTCTCTGATCTGTTATGTTATCAATTCCAGTGTCATCTAAACAGGTAACAGTCAACTTTTTCTTGGCTTAGTTATCGCATTGTCACTGGAGTTCTGTGAAGCAGCAGCTTCTGCACGCGGGTGGAGGGCAGGCACTGGCGGCAGCAGCTTCTGCACGTGGGTGGAGGGCAGGCACTGGCGGCAGCTTCTGCACGCGGGTGGAGGGCAGGCACTGGCGGCAGCTTACTCCTGCACGCGGGTGGAGGGCAGGCACTGGCGGCAGCAGCTTCTGCACGTGGGTGGAGGGCAGGCACTGGCGGCAGCAGCTTCTGCACGTGGGTGGAGGGCAGGCACTGGCGGCAGCTTACTCCTGCACGCGGGTGGAGGGCACGCACTGGCGGCAGCTTCTGCACACGGGTGGAGGGCAGGCACTGGCGGCAGCAGCTTCTGCACGTGGGTGGAGGGCAGGCACTGGCGGCAGCTTACTCCTGCACGCGGGTGGAGGGCACGCACTGGCGGCAGCTTCTGCACGCGGGTGGAGGGCAGGCACTGGCGGCAGCAGCTTCTGCACGCGGGTGGAGGGCAGGCACTGGCGGCAGCTTACTCCTGCACGCGGGTGGAGGGCACGCACTGGCGGCAGCTTACTCCTGCACGCGGGTGGAGGGCACGCACTGGCGGCAGCTTACTCTGCACGCGGGTGGAGGGCACGCACTGGCGGCAGCAGCTTCTGCACGTGGGTGGAGGGCAGGCACTGGCGGCAGCTTACTCCTGCACGCGGGTGGAGGGCACGCACTGGCGGCAGCTTCTGCACGCGGGTGGAGGGCAGGCACTGGCGGCAGCAGCTTCTGCACGTGGGTGGAGGGCAGGCACTGGCGGCAGCTTACTCTGCACGCGGGTGGAGGGCAGGCCCTGGCGGCAGCAGCTTACTCTGCACGCGGGTGTGAGGGGCAGGCACTGGCGGCAGCTTACTCCTGCACGCGGGTGGAGGGCAGGCACTGGCGGCAGCTTCTGCACGCGGGTGGAGGGCAGGCACTGGCGGCAGCTTACTCCTGCACGCGGGTGGAGGGCAGGCACTGGCGGCAGCTTACTCCTGCACGCGGGTGGAGGGCACGCACTGGCGGCAGCTTCTGCACGCGGGTGGAGGGCAGGCACTGACAGCAGCCTGGCTTGTTTTTATAGAAACTCGGTTTACATCTGTGATTGAAAAAGGACCATGGAAGCAGAAAGATGTAGTAGGAAATAAATATTATACACTCTGAGTGCTCCAAAGACAGTAATTGGCCAGGATGTTGTATAAAAGGAAATAATCAATGCGAGAGAGTCAGGACAAGTATTTGAAATTGATTGGAATGTTTTACCCTTAAGTGTGTTGACAGTGGGTATGCAATCTTAGTGTGCATAAGAATCAATTGATAAGCTTATCTAAAAGGGGATTACTGCCCCCAGCCCCCAAGACCCGGGTTTTAAGTAGACCCAGGAATCTATATTTAAAATAATCTTGGATACACGTTTTAAGTTGAAAAAGCATTATGTGCATAAGGAAGAATGTCAGACCCGCCCCAGTCCCCCAGCTTTTCTCCCCAGAGCCGACTACTGTTCAAGTTTCCTTGTGTTTCCTTCCAGAAATGTTCCATACCCATACAAGCCATATGAATAACTTTCTTTTGTTGTTAACAAAGCACATTAACTATAATTGGGAGCACATTAACTATATTTTATCTTGCTTTTTTCTTTTGGACATATGTCTTGGATATTGTTTCATAGTTTTATATATGTATCTGTCTTTATTTATCTATTTATTTTAATCCTCACTCGATATTTTTCCATTGTTTTTTTTTTTTTTTTTTTTTTTTTTTTAGATAGAGTGGGAGGGAGGGAGAGAGAGAGAGAGAGAAACATCAATGTGAGAGAGATACATCGATTGGTTGTCTCTCACAGGACCCCAACCAGGTCCGGAATCAAACCTGCAACCCAGGTACATGCCCTTAACTGGAAATCAAACCCGAGACTCTTTGGTCCATGGGCTGATACTCTAAAAGCTGGGTCAGTGCTATATATGGATCTGTCTTTAAAACAATAGTTGCATAAATGCCATATTTTATTTAACAGTTCCCTATTGCTGAACAATATAATTGTTTCCAGTCTTTCATATAACAAGCAATAAGCAAATTTTAAAAAGCCTTGCTCATTTGGCTTTCTTCATGTGTCGGAAACAGTTTTAGAAATGCATTCTTTAGATTAAAAGGTGTGTGCATTTCCTAATCATCAGAGAGATGCAAATTAAAACAACAATGAGGTATCACCTCACACCTATCAGAATGGCCGCCATCAACAAATCATCAAATAAGAAGTGTTGGCGAGAGTGTGGAGAAAAGGGGACTCTAGTGCACTGCTGGTGGGAATACAGACCGGTGCAGCCACTATGGAAAACAATACGGTGTTACCTCGAAAAATTAAAAATTGAACTGCCATTTGACCCAGTGATCCCACTTATAGGAATATACCCTAAGAAGCCTGAAACACCAATCAGAAAGAATATATGTACCCCATGTTCATAGCAGCAGCATTTACAATAGCTAAGATCTGGAAACAGCCCAAATGTCCATCAGTAGACGAATGGATAAAAAAGCAGTGGTACGTATACACAATACAGTACTATACAGCTGTAAGAAAGAAAGATCTCTTATCCTTTGAGACAACATGGAGGGACCTGGAAAGTATTATCCTAAGTGAAACAAGCCAAACAGAGAAAGACAAGTATCATATGATCTTACTTATTTGTGGAATATAATGGACATAACAGTCTGAGCAATAGGGTAGTCCCAGAGACGTGGAAGTGGGGTACAGATTGACAATCCCCAGAAGAGGGGGTGGTGGGGAGAGATAAACCACAGAACTTATATGCATGTGTGCATGAACAATGGACAACAAAGCTGGGGACAGGGCGGGGAGGGGCTGGAGGGGGAATCAGTGGGGGAAAAAGGAGAAACATCTGTAATAAAAATAAATTAATTAATTTTAAAAAATAATTTTTAAAAAAAAAGGTAGGGGACAAAAGAAAATAGGATGCTGGGTTAAGGATTGACTTGTAGTTCTATCAAGTAAAACTTTGAAGTCAATGGGACTTATCAGAGACTCCTTATCTTACACTAATAATTTGTGTTTACCTTTGTGTAGGGCTAAAAGTTTCCATAATAAAAAGCCTTAAAATTCAATAAATAAATAAATAAATAAATGGTGTGTGCATTTCAAATTAAAAGCTGGACTTGGCATCCCTGACACCCGGAGTGATTCTCCCCAGGTGGTTCTATGACCACACCTAATAAAAAGTTCCAGGGGACAGAACCAAACAAAATTATCAGTTACACTTTAGAAGTTTGCCTTTTAAGGCCAATAAAGTAGAGATTGATACAAAAAGTCATTGACTGTCTTTAAACAGGAAAAAATTTATTAGTGTATGTAAATAAAGATTACTTGGATACATGAGGAGAAAACTACAAAAAGCACATAAATAAATGCACAATTAACCTCATAATATCTTCAAAGAACTGTAAATAGTAACATTTTAAACAGGAACTAATACATATGCTGTGATTCCTTATAGCATTCTCTGTTATTCTGTTGTCAACATGAATATTGCAGGCAGATTTTACTCTATTTTTGTAAAATGGGAACGTCTGATGTGGTAGAAACCACCACTTCCATAAATACAGTCGGTCAATGAATGACTGTACAAAGTGAACGTGAGCATGTTTAACTTGAACATAAAACTAAAGCCGGGTCCTTGGATAAAAAGTGGACATTCAGGATTGCGTAACCAGCGGTGCGAGCATCCAAACGCACGGGCAATAGCACCATTCCGCATCTTGAGCGCCTCCTCGTATTAGTTTGGTGTTGTCAGGCAATGCAAGTGATGAAGTTCTGTGGTCAGTTTTAAAACACACGTTTTCTACCTAATCGTCCTGATTTCATGATAAATATATATAGGGAGAGATAGAGCATTGCTTCAGCATTTAAGATTTACCTTGATCAAAATAGAGAGCTGGGTTCTTTAACAGCAGCCAAAGCTGTAATGGTACCAAGTAGGGCATTGTGTTGAACTAAATGGAGTGTGCCATGCGATTTATTATCTGTACTTGTTCACAGGCAATTCTCGAGCTGTGGGAGGTGATATTAAGTGTGTCTATTAGCCGTGCTCTTGCCCCTCCTTTCCATTAGCTGCCTTTTATTTTTATGGTTTTTTTCAGGGTCCCTCATTACACAACCCCTCCCACTAGGCATCAGGAAAGGAAATAATGAAGATGAAACAAAGAAACTTGTCTATGCAATTACTTGTTAGCAGCTCTGAAGGCTTTCTGGAGCGAGAGACTGAAACCGCTGGCTAAAATTAGGCTTGGGGTAGCATTCCGTGATTCTAACTGCTAGTACCATTCCTGCCTCTAATCACCAAGGGTAACTGAGAATGGTCTGTACTCACGTTGGATAAATCTGACCCAAGACACTGGGCAATGATATTAAAGGACTTTTGTGTTTGATGAGCAAATTGCGAGTAGAAATTCAAACAGTTCTGAAGTATGTGTAAACAAGTAAGGCAGCCAGAAATTTCCAAACGATTCTGGGAAGGACATTCTGCAATCTGAAAAATGTTTGGCTTAGAAAAATAGAGCTCTCAGATAAAGGAAGAGCTTTATTTGGTGTCATGGATCACAGTTATCATCTGTATGAAATAGATCAAGAGACTATTTTTAAACTGGGCAGAGCTCAGGCACAGAGAGGGGCTGTTGGCCCTATTCCAATGTCAGATACACAGACATCTACGCCAAGGGCATTATGTTTATTACCCTCACAACCTCACAGCCTCGGATTCTGGATTTGTAACACACTTTACCAATGATTTAGCCACCAACTTCACGTCAGCTCGCAATTAGTTCTCTATTTTATTAACCGGGCACGAGAAACTCAGAAAAAATATTTTTATAGGCCCCAGGATTGTGCTCATAAATTAAGAGGCCGGGGTATGAATTAAAGTGCTTGACTCATAGCCCTTGATTCAGAAGTTGTGTGAGTACGAATACAACTTTCACTAAGGAAACTTTACTTAGATTTTGTCTTAAGATTCGGCTTATAAGGGGATCCTACTGAATCAGGATGGATGGCAGATGCTTTTCTTAGAGGAACATTAAGAAACTGTACTCCCTAGCTGCAGAACTCTTCATAAAAATATACATTTTTTTCTTTAATTGTACTACATGTATTACCTTTGAAATTAGAGCCCGTATTTATTTTACAGTGAGAGAGCAATAGCCCCCTATGACAATTTCTGAAATAAATCTAGTGATAGTCTTGTGCTTAAAACCCATCTATCTGTAAGCTTTCCAAAAGCATTTGGAGACATTATTTTCACTTTACACAGTACAGGCAGACCTCAGAGGTATTGCAGGTTCGGCCTCAGACCATTGCAGCAACGCGAGAGGCGCAATAAAGCGGGTTGCAATCTTTTTGCTGGTGGGGGGCGTCTTGCCTTCAGTTTGTAAAAAACATGGTATCTGTGGAGAGCAATCAAGGGGAGCGCAATAAAACGAGGTCTGCCAGTAGTCACACCGAAAAGCTTTTATTTCTGGTCTTTGTTGTAGAAAGCTCTATCTAAAACCCTAGTCCCAGGGGATGATGAAGAGAGGATGGATTTTATAAGGGCATGTCTAGTAGGCTGTCTTTGAAGGACACCGTCATCTCGAAAACACGTGGAGTCCGTAATCCCGGCCTGCGTCGCCTCTCCCCGGTGGAGGAAGGCAGCGCCACGCTCAGGGAAGCCATGACAATGACATTTACAAGTGACAGTGCCAGCTACCGTACTAAGCGCTCTCCCACGACATGTCATTGGCTCCTCACAGCGACCAGGTGAGGTAGGCGTGAGAAACACAGAGAAATCTCACATGAAACGTAACACGACACTACACGTGTGCACCACCCATGGATTTCTTTCTGGATTGTTCTATAATTTGAATACACGGCTGAATGAGTAAAAAGAGAATTCCGACCAGGTAAAGTAAACCACATATATAGAAGGAAAAGTCATATTTCTGTGTGATGTCGAAGATCCACCCTACAAAACAAAGAAGAATAGAGTCAGTGTGAAGGAATTGATCAAGAACACAAAGCTAGCACTTATTATGGCTATACATGCTATCAATATTTCTATAATTTACTTATATGTCATTGAATGTCTAAAATGTTTCCTTTAGCCATTTTTGAGTCGGGGCAGCATAAACCAGAGTTCTCAGTAACGGGATGAACGCATTTATCTTTTAAGCCATGAGGACACCTTTTTATTTTATTTTTATTTTTATCCTCACCTGAGGACACTTTTGCATTTATCTTCAGAAAGAGTGGGAGGGAGAGAAGGAGGAAGAGAGAGAGACAACATCAATGTGAGAGAGACACATCGACTGGTTGCCACCCACAGGACCCCAAGCGGGGCTGAGGACAAACTGCAACTGAGGTACATGCCCTGAGCCTCAGCAGGAACTGAACCCGGGACTCTCCGGTCTGGGGAGCGAACGTTCTAACTGCTGAGCCACACCGGCCAGGGCACGAGGGCACTTTTTAAGTCCCTGAAACTGTAGCCTGTGGACCCAGGGGGAGAATCTCTGGCTCACAGCGCGCGGGGTAATTCCCAGGCGGGCACAAAGCCAGCAATGAAAAGCGCATCTAATGATTTTCTTTTTTCACAAATACAAATCCACATCTTTTCCAAAACCTTCAAAATGCCTTTGAAGAAGTTTCTAGTGTATATCAAGAGGCTGAGCAGAAGAAACTTGGACTTTCAGTCATTCTGAAGTGTATAAAGGTACACCTCTGTCTCAGAATTACATTTTCCAGGTTTTAGGAAAGTCATATTTACAACTATAAAACTTTAATGTTTATATTTACGAGATTTTAAGTTGCCAAAGAGATAGTCTTCAATGCCGACTAAATTATCAGTTCTTTTCAAGTAATACCTGTATAATAATCCTACTGGGCACTCTGTAAAATGCTACGACATTTCTTGGATTCTAAGATACCATGAATTGCATGATTCATGACTACCTTATGTATCAACAACAAATATCCTTGTTAATTAAAATATGACAGTGTTTTGTAGGACTTTGTAAAATGCATTCCGATTTCAGAGGTGTTCAAACATGAAAGAAGAAGAAAAAGTCTCATAAACTGTGAAATAAGATGTTTCTTTCCCTTCAGTGATTAATTCTAAGAGTCAGTCACATGCCGGGGTCCCCACAGAGCCAACTATGCAAACTGAGAGGATTAAGCCACACACAAGAATTTGACTTATGGTAAAAATGTACATGTAAGCATTGACTTTTCCCATTTCAAGTGCATTCATTAGCAAAGGCATAAGAAACATAGAAGCGATTTAATGACCAAACAGCATTCCAAGGCCATTTTTCAAAAATATCCCTTAAAAAATATCTTACTAGCAAATGAATGCACCAGTGCAACTTAACCTTCTCTCACCAACGAATAGCTACACAGAAGCACCTGTGCCAAGCGGATGGGGCACCTCTGCCTTCCTGGCAGATCTCTGCGTCCCTCTGTCCACTGTGCCTGGCGCACACGCGTGTGCGTGGATCGGCCATGGCAATCCGAAAGGAAAACAAGCACTTAAGAGCATTAAAAATCATAATTGTTTAAACCACCCTAAAGCTATGAATTCTGGATATAGTTTAAAAGTTAACCAAGTTGCTCTGGCTGGTATGGTTCTGTGGTTACAGCATCGACCCTCGGACCAAAGGATCTCAGGTTCGATTCCCGGTCAAGGGCACATGCTTGAGTTGCAGGTTCAATCCCCGGCCCTGGTCAGGGCAAGTGCGAGAGGCAACTAATCAACATATCTGCCTCACATCGATGTTTCTCTCTCTCTCTGCCCCCTTCCCTCTCTCCCTTCCACTCTCTCTTTAATTAACACTATCCTTGGGTGAAAATTAATAAAAAGAAAATTGTAAAACAAAGTAAAAATTAACCAAGTTTTAAGTTTGTTATTTGATTAAAAAAAAAAAAAACAAAGGAAGAAAATATCAGACTCTTTCAACGTGGCTTAGTAAAATGTTTCATCATCTTTTCTTAACTTCCAGTCTGAGACAAGGAACAGAAAACATTAGACATATAATCTGAACATGATGATTCTGCCTCAGAAGCGAATCAGAAAGGCACACTGACATATGAACGGAACCACACCCAACTCCTGCTCAGTGTCACCATTTGGCCACCACGGACCACTGTGAAGCAGGACAAATGAATGGGTCCCTTGCAGATGACACAGAGAGGTCTGTACACGTAAGCGTGGTATACATATGATGGGACTATCCGTAAGCAACCACTGGACAACAATAACTGTAAAAGAGGTTCTCAGACTCCACTCATACCATAGGAATGCCGACCTTGTCATTTTATATTGCTCTTATTGATTTTTTAGAGAGAGAGAGAAAAACATTGATGTGAGAGATATACATTGATGGTTCACCTCCTCCTTGCCCCCTACTGGGGATTGAGCCACAACCTGGGCATGTGCCCTGACCAGGAATCAAACCAGGACCCCAATGGATGACGCTCCATCCACTGAGCCACACCGGCCGGGCCACCTTGTCATTTTAATAGTTAAATCCTCACTTTTCTTTTCTTTTTTTTTTTATCCTCACCTGAGAACATTTTTGCATTTAACTTCAGATAGAGCGAGAGACAGAGAAGGAGGAAGAGAGAGAGAGAAACATTGATGTGAGAGAGACACACCGAGTGGTTGCCACCCACACGACCCCAACCAGGGCCGGGGATGAACTGCAACCAAGGCACATGCCCTTAGCAGGAACTGAAGCTGGGACTCTCTGGTTCGCAGGCCAACGCTCTATCCGCTGAGCCAAACTGGCCAGTGCTAAATCCTCACTTTTCATATGATCAAGTGACAGAATAGCAATGATGGCTCTAAACGACAGACTCCGATCGCTGATATGAGCTGAACTACCCATTGCTGCTTAACATAGACCTCGCAATAGCACAGAATCGTAACTGGCTGGAAAACTCATTGTTTAGTTCCGACGACTTACTTTTTGTTTGAGTGGTTGGTCTGAGCTCCAGGGCTCTGGGATGTGGCCCCTATTCACCGCCCTCTCCTACTGTTCCTGGCTGACTACCAGCACAGGCAACAATGGATATTTCAGAGTTTCTAACACATTTCTCTTGGCTCCTCTTTGCATGCACTATTCCCCTTCCAGAGGGGTAATAATAGACGACACGACTCTAGCACACCCTCACATCTTCCCACCATGCCATGCTCCCTCTTGTCTCTGCAGACCACAGACATGTCTGCTAACTATGCTACATACTGGTACAGCCTCCAGTGGACTTCATTCCATTTTATTTTATTATTATTTTTTTAGTTTTTTTTAAATTAATTATTTTTGTTACAGATGTTTCTCCTTCTCCTCCCACTGATTCCCCCCTCCCCCTCCCTTCCTGCCATGTCCCCAGCTTTGTTGTCCATGTCCACTGTTCATGCATACATGCATATAAGTTCTGTGGTTTAGCGCTCCCCCACCACCCCTTGTTCTGGGGATTGTCAGTCTGTACCCCACTTCCACGTCTCTGGGACTACCCCATACCTCAGACTGTTATGTTCATTATATTCCACAAATAAGTGAGATCATATGATACTTGTCTTTCTCTGTTTGGCTTATTTCGCTTAGGATAATACTTTCCAGGTCCCTCCATGTTGTTTCAAAGGATAAGAGATCTTTCTTTCTTACAAATGTGGCATCTTTTCCTAACACTCATCTTTAAAAGTAACTCATATGTTGATTGTTTTAAAAGTACACCCAACTTCACCAAACAATTTAACAATACAAATCAGAGCAGTCCCCAATTTCATGTCAGATTAACCCCATAGATGTCTCCAATCTACCTTGAGGGTTTATTTTAAATGACTTCGGATCCTTTTATCTTTCTTTGGCACCTGTTGTAATACTTCCAGTTTGGGCTCAACTCATTTCAAGTCAGATGCAAAGCAAGTCACAAGCCACTGTACTTGATCATGTGCTTTGACCCAGCACATCTGGACAAAACTCATCCGAGCCCAGAGGTTTCAGACAAGCTGCCTGCTTTGTCTTCTTTAACCAGCTCTCCCTACAGGTCTGATCTAGGTTCCTTGGTTTGCAGCCTGGGATCCTTGGCCACCCTGATTCAACCATCAAATCACATCAAGAGTTTCAAAGTAAAATTTGGTTCCCTATTAAATTGCATTGCTTTTCATTTGAGTCTGTCAAATGGAGTGACAGCTGTTTTTCTTATTAAATGTATTCCCAGCTCTTGGTAAAAAACATTGCAAATTGTTGTCAGGGTGTTATATTTCATGGGAATGGGGGAAATATGTGTAGCTTCTTGGTCAGTCAAATCTGGTGGCTGAGTTTTGCTATAGCTTACACTGGGAACATCTAGAAAATATCTATTATTATCACAATTCTAAAGGAGAACTGAATGCCCAGCAATATTATATACATGAATTAGACCAAGGAATTCATGCTGCTAATTGACATGGTTGACATATGTGTTCAATATCTTTGACTGGACATTCTTCTCCTTAATACAAAGGTGTGATCATCTGACATGCTACTAAACTTTTTGATGCCACTAGAAACTGCTTTGCAAAAATGAAAAACACATTCATTTCTAAACCCATTACAAAAAAAAAAAGTTGATGTGAACAGCAATTTACCTTGTAGCAAACCCAGCTAAGTAATCATTTCTAGCCCTCCTGGAATTCCTAGCAAAGGAATTGAATGTTATTGAGTTGCTCATATTGCCAGTCACTTCTGAACTGCAATGCATAAAGGCTGGGCTTACATCTCATTGCAGTGTTGGCTCCTTGGCCTGGAAAAGTCAATGAATTAGACACAGTGCAGTTAGCCAGAGATGAGTTCAGCATTCCTTAGTGCATGGGTTCCATGGAAGGAGAATAAACAATAAAAAAAAAAAGCCAAGTCCTCTTTCGGCTGCTGGCCTAGAGATGCGCATCAGAATGGTGATTTCAGAGTCCCCTGTAGCAGCATTGGACACACTCCCACAGAAGGTTCTGAACCGTGATGACAATGGTTTCCACCATTCTGGTGAGTCACATTCAGTTAGAGACCACCTTCCAGGGAGGAACCCTGAAGCAGGCAGAGATGACTGGGTGTAACCAACTCCGTCTTCCAGTTGCAGTTCCTTTCTCTTCCACGCATGAAAGTGCACGAGGATGCAAATGAGTGAAAAGGACATGCCCCCAGGAATGACGAGGAAACCATGCTGGCAAACCTTGGTGCTTTAGTTAACATTGATCGTGAATTACCTATGTTGCACCTCACAGCGGTGTTATGATGCTGCTTTTGAAAGCTGATGGATCAGTACAAAAATAATCCCAGACTGACCATTAGAAGCAGAAAGTACCCCTGCATCATGCAAAAGACCATCAATGACAGATTCCATTTCCACATACAATATGTCTGCGGGACCTCCAACAAGAGGGTGGACGAGCCATGATAATGTCCCCATCCCTTAATGAATATTTCAGTTTAACATCTCTGGAAGGTACCACTGGTTGACTGATTCAACACCCAATCCCAATTCTTTTCTCTTTTCCTCTTCTTGTACAGAGGCTAAAAAGAAAATACTCCAATTCTCAGTTCCCCTGGAAACTTAGATTAGCAGTGTGACGCAGTTCTGACCAATCAAATATAAGTGGAATTCTGCTGCGACTGATCTTTCCTTCCTTCCTCCTTCATGTTTAAATGCAGATATTGTGGTAGAGCCATGGCAGCTATTATGTGACCATGAGGTCACTAGCATGAACAAAAGGCTGAGAGGATCTCAGAGACACTGTCTCAATATCATCTAGTCCTTGGACTCCAGATTTATGGTTATGTAACATAATTCAATCTCTGTGTATGCTACTATTGGCAGGGTGTTCTCTTAGAACCAAATGCATCCCGAACTCAGGGAGAATTCTGCACAATGAGATCAGTGAGCAAGTTCAGACTATTCGGTGGCCAGTGTGGTTTACTGCACTACCACAGCTGTTCACGATCACCGGAAATAGTGCGCCTGCGTTAGTGCCCAGGCAGAGAACAGGGGTACCTGGATCCATGTGTAGCCACCGGGCTTCCTACTACAATTCTGGGGCCTTAACCTCGGTCAGCCAGCTGTCAGTGCTGTCACTGTACAGGCAAAATCCATGACTTTTTAAACTTCGAATTCTGACAGGAACTTAAAAATGGGTGTGTTGGCCTAAGCCTTCCGCCAGTGGGCTCCTAGCACAGGCGGTATCTGTAGGGTATGTGGAGAGACTGGGAAAGAAGGGGCGGGGAGGGCTTTGTCCTGCACCCATGGGTTCCCCCACCTACTCGGAAGAGGTATTCCTGCAGATGATTTGAGAGTAAAAGGTCATGAGGGGCCAGGCGCGCAGTGAGGCCCTACCAGGTTAGCTAGAAGCTCCACTCAAAACCTCTGGCAGCTCTGACCATCACCACCAGCCCTGGCCTGGTCACTCTGACAGCCACCTCCAGATAGCACCTTTATGTGAACATTTGTTCCCAGTCCCTGCCTTTACTCCTTAGACAGAGGGTAGACCCTGTCACCTGTCCCCAGTACCTGCCCGACCCTGAGTGCCTTTTCACAAATTTAAACCCTCCCCAAGGAGGGTTCCAAGATACTTGGCCCGACACAGGACTCCTCGGTGCCTAGGACCTCTGGTATGCCGACTGCGAGAAGCAAATTCTCCGTGGAACTAAGGCGAATCCACGTGAGAGCGTATCCTAGATGTCTGCCAACCAGGCCCGTGGGGGCAGAACGCTCCGACCCTCCCCAATGCCCAGTTCCAGTCCCCGGACCCTGTGACTGTTACCTTACATGGCAGATGGGACTTTGTTGATATGATTATGTTAAAGGCTTTGAGACAGGGATTACCCTGGATTATCTGGTGGGCCCAGTGTAATCAGGGGTGTCTTCATAAGTAGAGGAGGCAGGGGAGTCCGAATCAGAGAGAGAGAGACGAGAAGCTGCTGGGCTGCTGGCTCAGACATAGGAGAAAGGGGCCAGCAGCCAAAGCTGTACGAGGCGAGGAAATGGATTCCTTCCCAGTTCTGCTGACACCTTGATTTGAGCCCATTGTGATCCAATTCAGCCTGACCTCTAGCACTGCAGGTCATAAATCTGTATTGCTTTGAGCCACTAAGTGCGAGGCAATTTATTACAGCAGCAATAGGCAATTACTACGGGGCCAGGTGCAGCCCACAGGTGTGTTCTGTTGGATTTCCAGTCTTCAACCTGGAAATGTCACCTAAGAGTCTGTAGTCTTAGTTTCTCTTGCTTCTCGCCCTGTGCCCAACAACAGACGCTTGGGCAACAGTTCTCCCTGTGGCAGAAATCAGCTGGAGCTGGGGAGAGGCTGCCCCCTTCAGTCCTGGCCGGGCCCTGCACTATCCCGTCTTCCCTGTCCACTTGATGGCTGGCTGCCAGCTTACCTTGTAGATGAGGAGCAAACGTGTATGTGCCTTCTCCATGAAACAATGACCTTTACCTTGCTCAACTTTGTAAGTGAGAAATTTGGGGGCCAGGAATGAGAAGGAAAAAGGAGCATGGACACACATGGAAACCTCCTTCTTATGTACCTCGTACTGATAGCACCGAGGAGAACACAACCAAACAATCTACACGCACCCAAAGCTTTAACCTTGCACGGGTTACCTGCAAACGGTGGTCCCAGCAACGCGGAGATGCCGTTGGCACAGATGATGATGCCGTAGGCGTTGGCCAGGTGCTCAATCCCCACCAAGTCTTCCGTCACTACGGGCATGAGGGAGAAGTAACCGCTGGAAAAGCCTATGAGCGCGCAGATGACCGCCAGGCCCGCGTACGTGTGCATCAGCGGCAGCAGGAAGATGCTGAGCACGAGGGTGAAGTTGGCCATCAGGAAGACGTTCCACACGCTGATGCAAGGCAGGTCCGCCACGATGCCCAGGACCACTTTCCCAAAGATGTGAACTATGGCTATGATGGAGGTCAGAGGGAAAACGTCGTTTTGCTCCGATAAATTGTACAAATGGACTATTTCTGGGAGGTGAATGAAGGGGATGACAAAGCTGCTGTAGGCGAACAACGCCCAGAAGATGAAGGCCACGAACACTCGGTTGGTGAAGAGCGAGGCTGCCCCGAAGTAGCCGGAGTACCAGTCCTGGAAGCCCTTCCTGACCCTCAGGCTCAGCTGGCTCAGCGTCTTCAGCAGGCGGAGGGCGCACATGTTCCTCGGGCGCCCGGCCTCCTGCGGGCACGCCGGCGCCGCGGGGTCCCCGGGGGGCTCCTCGTGCCCGGGGCCGCCCTCCTTCTCGTCCGCCCTGCCCGGCTGGCCACCGGACTGAACAGATTCCGTGGAGCGAGCCGGGAGGACCCGCGGGTCCCGCCCCGCCGGGTCCTTCCCGTCCTTCCCGGGAGAGAGGGGCCTCATGAGCGCCCCGCACACGCACAGGTTCAGGGACACGGCGCCTTGGATGAACATTGCGTTCCGCCAGCCGTACTCCGCGCACAGGTACTTGAGCAAGACGGTCATGAGGAAGGTGCCGAAGCCGGTCCCCGTGGTGCTGAGGCCCTGGGCCAGCGCGCGCCGCTTCTGGAAGTAGCGGCCCACCATGACCACGGCCGGCAGGTAGGCCATCCCGCTCCCCAGGCCTGCGAGGCGAAGGGAAAGAAGCACAGGGCACCGTGAGCGGCCTTCTCCAGACCCGCAGCCCTGGAGCACCCTCCGACTGCATTATCTCGGTCTCTACACCATGCAGAACAACGCGAAACACCAAGCCAAGAGGCTCATGTCCTGAACTTTCCAGCCCATCAGTCCTCCCAACAGGCCTTGCAGAACAGGCTGCTCTGACAACGGAATCCGTCCCATTCTCAGCTCAGAATGGAAGCTCGGGGCAAAGCTGCGTCTTCACCCTCACCCCTGGCTCCTCCCTTCCTGCCCAGAACACGCAGGTGTGCTTAGTGACGTGCCGTGAGAAAGAATGGCTCTGAGGACTGTGGTGTCGGGCTAAGTGCATGAAACACCCAGGAAAGTATTTATGTCCGAGGGATGCATGCCTCCAGGCAATTTGCAGAAGCCTCCGGAAGAGCCCAGTTTGTTCACAAATTAATTGGAAGAATAAAAGGAATGATAATGTGCCTATCAATATACGTACTCGATGTCAAAACCTCCTGACACTTATTTGTCTCTCTGAGTTGAAATGGTATCTTTCTTAGAAGAGAGGCACAGTTTGTGATTTGCACCGACAGAATTAAAATGCTGGTGGGGGGCGCTTGTGTTGGTGCCAGTGGTTCTGGGAACTTCCTGTACTTTCTCCCCAGTTTTACGGCGGACCTGCAACTGCTCTTCAGAATGAAGTATATTAGAAAATAAGTGAAATGAAATGAAAATACTGGCCAAGAGATTGTGGGGTGTGTTCTCAAGTTTTAGGTACAGACCGGGAAACCATGATCCCCATTTCAACAATCGCAGGGACCTCCCGACATTAGGATGGCAGCATATAATATAAAAGAGACTCTAATCGATATCAATCCCCAGAGTCGAAGCCTCCCTAGTTCAGCATCATTTTATAGTTTCAGAATTACTTGAATTTGGAAGGAGACCAGAGCGATCACACATGAAAATACAGTAGTAATGGTCACTAAGTGAGTGTCGTTGATATGCCGGTTGCTTTTTAGGCTTTATCTGGTTTAGTTTTCACTATAACCCTGAAAGCTAACTGTGGATATACAAGAGGGTATTGGACCTCACAGAGACTAAGTTACTTTCCCAAGATCCCTAAACTGGTAATTGGAGAATCCAGGTTGGAATTCAGACCCAACGTCAGAGCCTGGTCCTTTCTCCTTCCCACACTGCCTCTGACCCTACACTCACCCCCCAGCTGCCAGTAGGCAGCGGCAGAAGAATTTTGTTTATTTATTGTGTGTATTGTTTATGACCTGACCTCTTCTCCCCTTTTGCTAGATTACACGCTGCATGAGGGCATGGATGTGTTGATTCACCGATGGGCCTAGAGCACTCTCCTAAGTGCCTAGAACAATGCCTGGCACACAGCAAAGGCATGAAACGAATCAAGTTCTATGGGAACATAACTGGTCACATTTTAAAATAATAGCTTCTGCCCGGCCGGTGTGGCTCACTGGTTGAGCGTCAACCCATGCACCAAGAAGTAACCGGTTCGACTCCCAGTCAGGGCACATGCCCAGGTTGTGGGCCTGATCCTCAGTGGGGGGCATCCAGGAGGTGGTCAATTGATGTTCTCTCTCATCTATGTTTCTATCTTTCTCTCTCTCTCCCTTCCTCTCTCTCTAAAATCAATAAAGGAAAAATAAAAATAAAATAATAGCTACTTCTTTTATACAAGATTAATATACTTCCATAGTTAAGGTACAAAAAACCCAGCTGCAAAATAAGTATAACAGTGGTTACTATGGAAAAAAATTATTTAGGAACCAAAAAATTCTTTGATATTAAATATTGTGGCCCAGACGTATTGCCCTCCTCCATTTTATATATATAGTTAATCCTCACTTGAGGATATTTTGCCATTGATTTTTTTAGAGAGGGTGTAAAGGAGGGAGGGGGAAAGAGAGAGAGATCAATTGGTTGCCTCCTGCACGACCCCAACCAGGGCCAGTATCGGACCTGCAACCCAAGTACGTGACCTTGACTGGGAATCATCCCGAGACCCTTAGGTCTGTGGATTGACCCTCTAACCGCTGAGCCACACTGGCTAGGGCCTCCATAATATTTTGAAATGAATTCTGAATATATCATTTCATATGCAAACATTTTTAGTATGAACCTCTAAATGTTGATTATGATTAAATGTCACAATCTTATCATCTTACCTGAAAATAAAAAAATAATTCCTTGATATCATAAAATATCCAGAGTGTTGAAATTTTCATTTGCCTCATAAATGTGTATATTTTTTAAAAACTTGTTTGTTTACATCAGGATTCTAATAAGATCTATGCATTGCTACTTGTTGATTTGTATTTTAAGCCTCTTCCATAATTAGCACAATTATTTCATGAACTTATAGGGCAGGACTTGGGATGGATATTCTGGCTCAAGCCCACATGTCAGTCAAAGCCTTGCTAATGTCCAGCCCTGTGCAAGACCCTGGAATAATTCCTCACCACCATCAGGTTTAGAGGAAGAGCTAACAGCCTGACAGGCAGGTGGAGAAATGAGGCTCCATGGTCCCAAGGAAGCATGGAAAAGGTGTCTCCCGGAGCCAGGCTTAGGACAATGCAGTGCTGGCAAAACTGGAGAAGTTGGTCCAGACACCCTTGGCTAAGTAAAATTGCTCAGACATTAATCCTCTGGAAGCTCCCACACAATTTTAATTGCCTACGTGTTAAAAATAAAGATACAAACAAATCTGCCTGAAGAGCTTTTAAGAATGAAGAAGGATACCAACAAAATTTCTTTCAAGCACAAATTGTACAGTGATATAACTATATATCAATCACTTGCCCATTGCAGTATATTTTTGCATCTAATTTTTTTCTTTTCTATTAAAAAGGAGCTAGGTTGCCAGTCAGTTTCAACATGCCCCACTAATGATAGCCCAACAGCATTTTGCATATATAATCTGATTTAGCTAAATTTTCCACTTAACTACACACACACACACACACACACACAGGGAAGGTGAGTTAATTTATTTTCAGAGACTTTCTTTGGGTTTTTCCTGTATAAAAAGTGGGAGCAAGAAAGTGTCCCAAGAAATACTTTTTTTCCACCATCCTCCTAATTTCCTTCCTACTCCTTTGGGTCCATAAACATTCATTGAATAAATAAGTGAATGAATGAATAAATAAATATTGAGGTATTTGAGGATCAATAAGCAATTAACTGCAAGAAATAAAATTCCATTTAAACAAAGAGTCTAACCACAGAAATCTCTAAATGATGAGAATAAATCTCAAGTCCTGATTATTAGGATCAAGTCATAGTCCACATAACCAAACACCACTAGATCAAGTTCACAGGGGGCCCGTGTGTCTGCCCAGAGACCCCAGTGTGTCTCCTTAGCCTCAACAGAAGGACTGTTTATCTCCTCACCTGTAATACAACAATCCTGTGTTAGCTCTGTTCATCAGACTGTTATGGGAAAAGGTTTCTAAAAAAGTCTGCACTTGAAAAGAAAGTCAGCTGGATCTGGTTCATTGAAGTACAACCGCACAAGAAAGAAACTACTTCTCTGTGTGCATTCTGCTACCTGTTGATAAAGGAAATTATGGCTGGGAAGGTATTTGTCAGAACGGATATGCAAACCGAGCAGCCTGGCAACCAATTTTTACCTCTCCACTGGGGACTGCCACTCTAACTGTGCTCTAGGTCTACTTCTTAGATCTCTACATGTAGGTGGGTTTTGCTGCTATTTCATTAATTTGAACTGGGCTGAAGGAGAAAATGATTATTCCATGATTCATGCTTGATTCTGCAGTTATTAAGTGAGAGAATGTTTTTAATTTCCTTAATATTTCACCTATGTCTCTATTTTTACCCTCCTTTTCCTGTTCCTCATAAGGAAAAGATAGCGCTTAGAACCAGGTATGAAAATTTAATTAAATTCTATTAGTGAGGCCAAGTACAGTTGTTAGGTTGTTCTGCCACATCTAAGGCACAGTTAATATATTAAAAAGTATTTCCTGAAGGATAAAATGGGTGTATGGTGGAGGAGACAGAAGGACAACATATTTTAATGGGTCTCTCTCTTTTTTTTTTTTTCTTTATTGATTTTTAGAGAGAGAGGAATGGAGAGGGAGAGAGAGATAAAAACATTGATGAGAGAGAATATCAATTTGCTGCCTCCTGTGACCCCACTGGGGATTTGGCCCACAACCTGGGCACGTGCCCTGACTGGGAATCAAATCAGCGACCTCTCGGTGCATGGCTCGATGCTCAACCACTGGGCCACACCGGCTGGGCTGGGTCTCTTTTCTGCACAATACAATTCATTGCCAGAATGCCCAATCAGAACACTTCAAGTCAAGTTAAAATAAAATCAATATGCTTACCAGCTGTCACTCCAAAGGTAATAAAGAGATAATGAACGTTTGCAGCATAGGCACTCAACACCCAGCCCAGGGAGTTCACCAGCCCGCCGATGATCGCCGTCCGGCGGCAGCCGCACGTGTTAATGAACAGGCCGATGAAAGGTCCTGCCGCAGAATATGGAGAAAGGACTTGAGTAAAAACGTTTTATTTTCCTGCTTGCTCAGTAAATCCTCATATGAAGACAAACTTTAATAAAACATTACTAGAGCTGTTAAATAAAACACACCAACCCCCGCATTGTTTTGTGTATTTATCCTTTTTTTTTAGAAAAAAAACGAAAACAAAAACAAAACAAATTTAATACATACACATGTATGGGAATCTTGCATACGTGAGAGAGTCAGAGACCCACCTGCACAAAAGGTGCAGACAGAAAGGGGCATCTAGGTATATGACATTCTGAGCAAGGGATGAAGTAATGCACCTTGGGGCTTCAAAGGGTGAAAACCCCATTGCTTTATGGGAAAAAAGCTTCCAGCACGCAAAGATGGATTTTAATGAGTTCACTAGCAAGCACAAGGTTCTAGGTTTTCAAGGAAGGTAGACCTGAAATAAACTGGCTCATTCTCTTGCCTACAACAGAAGTCCTCAACTGTGGTCTAGGGCCTCTATTTGGCCTGTTGATGTGTTTTGTTTATCCCAAACAATATTTTAGAAATGTTTTGAATAATCTGTCACATTTAAAATGAAGAGAATTTTTTAAAAGTTCAGTGGCAACACAGTATCTTCCCATACAGCTCAAATCACCTGGAACTGTCCAGTAGCTAATTCCTCTGGTTTGCCACAGTCTCCACCCTTCCCTTTAGTCTTATATCTGGCCTCCTGCCCTCCTTTACATTGGTTGTTTGGCCTCTGTACACATTTCAGTTTTTGACTCCAGACCTAAAGGGAGAATAGGAAGGGGGTTCTCAGGACTCCCATGCTTCAGGCAAGGAACCTATAGCCTGTTTTCATGAGGACACTCAGATGCAAACCAAAGTGAAAAGGACTCATCAAAAATGTCATATGCATTTGTGACACCATGTGGAGATTCAGGAATACACTTGGTTATGCAAGATGTCCCAATACACAGCAATACAACATTATATGACACACAACATTATATGATACTAGGATGCTCTAGTTTTTGTCAACCCTCTGTTTTCTTCTTAATTTTGCGGTAATTTCTGATGTCTTCGAAGCCTAATGCTTGCCTCGTGATCAATGATTCCTTTTCCATACAGCAATCCGGGTTTTAGTAACACTGTGCAGTATGAGGCCTCACTCAACATTCAGTAACATGGCACATTTTAAACACCACCTTACTTTTTATCATTATTACTTTACATAATTATGGAACCCTAGTTTCAGGTGGGACTAAGTCAGGTTAAAAACTTGTTGAGTGGGTGGCAGCCACTCGATGTGTCCCTTCATGTCGATGTTTCTCTCTCTCTCTCCCTTCCTCTCTCTCCCTCCCACTCTATCTGTACAAAAAAAAAAAAAAAAAAAAAAAACTTGTTGAACTCTAAGGAGCTTACCCTTTTAGCTCAAACTGAAAAATGTACTGTAGTGATCTGACTCTATTTATGTGCATATTTGGGTACACAGTCAGCTAAAAAGTTTGTTTGTTTGTTTGTTTGTTTATTATTTCTTTATTTTCTAAATCCTCACCTGAGGATAGTTTTTTCCATTTTTATCTTCAGATAGAGTGGGAGAGAGAGAGAGAGAAACATTGATGTGAGAAGGACAAATTGACTGATTTCCTCCCACACGACCCCGACCAGGGCTGGGGATCAAACTGCAATGGAGGTACGTGCCCTTGACTGAAATCAAACCCGCAACTCTGTGGGCCGACGCTCCACCACTGAGCCAAACCGGCCAAGGCCAGCTAAGAGTTTTGAGCGGGCCTAATCCTAAAAATTATGAAGGTAAGAACTTATTCATTTAATTAACACTATCACATTACAGAAAACAATTCAGTAGATAAACCTCTTGGAATAGATTTAATATAGTAAATATAGTCTAGATAAATGTACTCTAAGTATTATAAAATAAGCACGTTATACAAATATATAAACTAAGCACATTAATGAACATCTGAGGAAATTATTGGGGACATCTGAAACTCGGAAATCATAAGTTGAAGATATTTCTTTACAAATAGTTTTCTTTTTCTTTTGCAATATGTTTTTGTTGATTTTAGAGAGAGAGGAAGGGAGAGGGAGAGGTAGAAACCTTGATGAGAGAGAAACATCTACTGGCTGCCTCCTGCATGTCTCCTACAGGGCTTCGAACCCACAACCCAGGCATGTGCCCTGATTGGGAATTGAACCAGTGACCTTTGGGGGCATGGGATGGTGCCCAACCAACTGAGCTACACTGGCCAGGGCAATATTTTTATTTTTCTAAACCCGTGGTCATTCCACTACTGGAATCTGGAATGAATGGATAAAAAAGAGAAATATGCATAACTCATGGCTTTGCTGTTAATAGGCCTTTTAAGATATGAAAGGTCAGCAGATCACAGTGCAGTAGCATGAACATATTTTCCACATTACGGGAAGGCCCAGAAGCAAGCATTTCTGCATGCTCATGAAACTTTCATTAAGAAAGCTTTTGAAGAAAAAAGAGAGGAGTCCCCAAGTGCAGATCTTCCTGGCTGCAGGAATATTACATATCAAAAAGTAAGCATGAATTGCTTTACTGATGAGAACATTAGCTGATAATGGTGTCTGACCTTTTGGTTCACAAACTCTCACCCCATTCGGGCTGGAGTTCATTCATTTACGACTTGCCGATGGGCAAAGTCAGACCCAGAAATGCCATGACTCCTCCAGAGATAACGTCAGAAAAAGGAAGCCAGACCCAAGCTTTCTGACTGTTCTGTTTTCTAACCATCGTTTACTGATGGTCAGTGGCACCTCCAAGCTTGAAATACTTTATCAACGAGATGAAAAGAACTCCCCATGCGGGGTAAGGAGAGGGGGAGGATAAGATGAGATACAGTCCTTTGGCTAGGATTCCCACTTTTGTAGAGGAATTCAGTGTGTTTGAATGAGAGTATATTCCTAGTCAGGCTCTCTCTTCTTCAGAATGAATCTGAATCTCAGCCCATTTCCCGCATAACGAAGTGTTACGTTGTTGCAGGGAACACTGAGGAAGTCATCATTTCTTGCTCGTTCCAGCATCTTGTAGGTTAAAAGACAGCTCAGGTGAGGACAGAAGCAATCAGAGGGTGCCCTGGCATACAATCATGGACGAGATTAGATAGTTCACTGAACTCCCGGTCTCTTGGCGAAACAACCCCTCAGGGCAATAGGCTTTAGGAGCCTCTAAATCAATGGCTCTCAGCCTTGGCTGAATATTGGAATCACTCAGGAGCTTTAAAAAAACTCCTCCCTCCCCCTAAATCCTGATGCTCGGGTCTCATCCCATGAGATTCTGATGTAATGGTCCAGGTGCAGCCCTAGCATCATGGTTATTAAAGGCACCGATGAGCAGCCGGATTGACACCCACTATTCAAAGCCTACTTAGCAAGCCAGTGGCCGTCTGCAGCCCACAGGCTGGCTTCCACCACGAATCATCCCCGGAGCCGTCACACAGCCGCTATAGATCTGACGAAGGTGTTAAAAATTGGAAACTGGCAAAATCCATGCTAACCAAGAATAAAAGACAAGAATGAAATTACTCAGTTTCCCATGTGTAACTCACTGCCCAAAGGAGAGATGGTTTTCAGGTTTGTAACATAATTCAGAGATTTTTAAAAATTTAAAAGAGGTAACCCAATTGTGCTCACAATGACTAGGAAATAAAGGCAATTTATATTTATTCATTCAAACACATTATCAGTTCTCATTTGGTGGAGCAGCCAGGAGTGTGGTATAGTGGGCACCACTTTGGAGTCTGATGGACCAGGTTTAAGGCCTGTCCCATGCTCACTGGCTGTTCAACCTTTGAGCGTTGCACGTCCTTCCTATCAGGTGGACATGATGGGCTGGCCTGTGGTATTGCTGTAGGACCAAATGAAATCATGTATATAATACGCGCTTGGTATACAGTAAGTGCTAACTAAAGGGAGCTGTTCTTGATGGCTTCTGGCTTGGAAAAGCACTTAACACATCCGTAGCCCCCCTGTACCAGGCAGCTCAAGACAATAAACAGCCACTTAGGGTCATGATAGATAGAATCAAAGACCTTCCATTGATATAACTATGAGACTTGCTGTATAACGATTTCTGAGCCCCAGATCAAAAGGTATTTTTCAGGTACCTTTCCTGTAGAAAGGTTAGTCTACAATCTGAGATTTCACTGTCTGGAATTCAGGGACTCTGGGCTCTCAAACAAAATTCTGAATACAATTACCTCCCAACTAGACAAGATAACGATCGTATTTCACCATCATGTTGAGTTAGGTGTTCTTATTTTGGGGATCATCTTCAAAGCTGTATCCAGTCATTTTGAGTAGTTTCCACTGCTTAAAACAGCCTTATTGGTGGTTTGGAGAATGTTGTGACCTTCCATACCCTGGTTTTTGCTGAGTCTTCTTTTTTTATTGTAAACACATACTTCCTAGATGGAACCTGTAAGTACTTTGTTCTACCCCTTAAAATTTTATCTTTAAAAAAGTTTTTAGCCCTGGCCAGTTTGGCTCAGCGGTTAAAGCGTTGGCCTGCGGTCCGGAGAGACCCGGGTTCGGTTCCCGCTAAGGGCACGTACTTCGGTTGCAGTTTGTCCCCGGCCCTGGTTGGTCGTGCGGGTGGCAGCCACTCGATGTGTCCCTTCACGTCGATGTTTCTGTCTGTCTCTCCCTTCCTCTCTCTCCCTCCCATTCTATCTGTACAAAAAATGGAAAAATATGCTTGGGTGAGGATAAAAAAAAAAAAAAGTTTTTAAAAGTGGGATTTTAAGTATTCTAGAAATTCTAAAAAAAAAAACACACAAAAAAAAACCAGTTTTCTTTTACTGACTTATTGAGAAGGTAGAATTACATCCAACACAAAACCAGCACATTCCCTACCCCACAGTAAACCTACCTGCATTTTTTGTACAACAAATAGTCCTAGTTTTAACAAGGCCAATGCAAGGTTAAAAGGAGAGTTCATCAATGTTATAGGCAAAAATGATTTCTCAACATTTCTCTCACACATATAATGGTGCCCTTATTTAATTTTAAAACTAGGTCAGTATTAATCCCCTTTGATAAACACACACATCCCACCCACATCTTGGGAAAATAACACTCTCTCCTTGTTTTCTGTCATTAGTACTATCACTGTGTTAATATAATGTTTATTACCCAAAATAGCATCGATTGAGTGCCAGCCAAGATCAACACATCTCTGAGTTTGATTCAAGCAATTACTTGCTAACTGAAAAGTCACAGACTCCCCTCAAACACACACGTGCTTGTCATACACGTACTCTTACAAAACCAGAAAAATATTTGAGGCCATTTATGTTTCCAGTATAAACTATATCACAAATGTTCTTTAAATTAAAAAAAAAAAAAAATTGACCTAAAGGTACGGCTGTTCCTTTTAAGTGAAGCAAGTGAACATTAGGTAATAGCAGTAGATTGCTAAGAGAATTAGATAAAATTAAATGAGATAATGTAAAGGAAAGCATCTGATATATAATAACTACTTACTGAATATCAGTTGACAGTGAAAGTTGTTTTGTTTCCAAAAGGAAACACATTAGCTATAATAACATATTACATTTATAATAACTTTCTGGTTTAGTATTTCCCACTGAGTAAGAATTGGTTTCATAGGTTGCTGTGTGGCTAGGCTTAACTGGAAAACGCAAGAATATATTATTATTCCTTCCTCTTTGCTATATCAGTAACCTTTCCAAAAACAGTTTAATATATTTTCCAATATCATATGATCAATTTCAAATTAATCAGAATGCTGAAATAAGATTGTTAGTTGACTTTTATAGTGTTTTCTCTAAAATTTTTATCTTTTAGAAATATGTATGTTAAATAGACAGATATTTGTAATGATAGATAATTAGGGCAAAAGAGAGTTTTAAAAATGATCAATTTAAAAATACTTCAAATGTTTATAATATTCAAATAGTGATACACAAAAGGACAAATATTGTATGATTCCACATATGATGCACTTAGAGTAATCAAATTCATAGAGACAGAAAATAGAATGGTGGTGGCCAGAGGCTGGGGAGGGAGGAGTAGGGAGTTACTTTATAATAGGCACAGAGTTTCAGTTTGTAAGATGAAGAAGTTCTGGAGCTGGGTAGTGGCAATGAGCGTACGCAGTGGCATTGAACTGTGTACCTCAAAATGGTTAAAATGGTAAACTTTATGTCACGTATATTTTACCACAATAAAAACATAGTAACATCACTACCGTTACTGTTTCAACAATATAAAACATTACTTACAGTGGGGATTATACTTATTCAGTTTTACAACAGGTCACAGGCGCACATACCCACAATCAAGGTGATGCCCATGCTGAGGGAGCTGACCCATGCAGTCAGGCCACGGCTCTGATGGAATTCTTCCAGCCATTCCACATTGAGGACCCCCAGGGCCATCTGGGAGCCCATGATGAGGATGTGCACAAAGAAAGAGGACAGGACCATCATCCAAGCCCATCCGCCGTCGATGTTTGGGTGGGGTTTAAGTGTTTTCTTGTCTTTGGGGTCATCTTCAAAATCATACCCAATATCTTCATGACTTGTATACATTTTCCAAGATTTTCTGAAATACATACGACAAATCATTTCATCGAATATCAAAACAAAAAAAAATCTCCATCTTCATTGGACAGCTCTACTTTCTCATCATAAAAAAGCAGCCCCATCATCGTATCAGATCTTCGGATGAATTTTTGTCATTATGCAGATTTGGGAACACTTCTCACTTTTTCTCAGGACCAAGTCCTTTTAGAAACTTGTTTAATCTTTAAAGTCATCCTATATGTAATTATTATAATCCCTGTTTTAAACATATGGAAATAGAGAAGGGAAGTAACTTTCCCAAAGTCTCATGGGCAGTAAGCAGTGTGGTCAGACAGGAAACCAAGATTTGAACCCAGCTATCCCTGACTCAAGCTCATACCTGTGTCCCCTGTTGAGATAGATACTGACAGGTGATGAGAAGGATATCACAGGAGGAAGACACCTGGCCTTAGCAGCCTTCAGGATAGCTTCACCTTGGTGGGGCCCCAGCATTGGTTTTGTTCTCACGTTGTGGACCCAAGCACTCAATTTGTTCAATACAGCCAGAGTGGATTAGCCTCAGGGGGACTGACTCATGTGCACCCAACTCAGGAGAGATTGATAAAGTAGAAGGTCAATTTACTAATCTACAATGGGACATGCAGCTTTCTAATGTTGGTGATTTGTGCTTTGCATAGATACATCTCTCAAGATGTTAGAACGAGAGGAAGGAGGCGGAATGGAGCTGAGAAGAGGTTGATGCTAAGTCAGGGAGGACTCTGGTTTTGTTTCCTTTTTCAGAATGAGAATTAAGGGTGTGCATAAGAACTGCGGATAAGGAGCAAAAGAAGGAGAGAGAGACAGAGGGAGAAGGAGAGGATGACCAATCTTGGAGGTGGTGGGACCAGAGGGTTGGTCTTGATCAGCGGGAGCAACCCATCCTCTGAGGCTGGAGGAAGCAGAGGGTGAATGGAGATAAGATGGTGAGTGATGGGTGGAAAGTTACACCTGTTGGTCTAATTTCTTTGGTGAAGTAGGAAGTCAGGTCATTGGCTGAGAATGAGCAGGATGGTGGTTATGGAAAGGCCTCAGTGTTCAGGATAATGGAAGAGACCGTTGCCTACTACGTGTGGAAATGGTTGTCAGGGAGTTCCACAGTGGGGCTGAGCCCTGCGGGGCACCACTGCAGGGTCACGGGGAGGGGAGCACCAAGCACAGAGCGGCAGGAGCACTCTGCCCCAAAAGCAAGCAATTTGGTGGAGCACCGTCCACAGAGAACTTGAAAACAACAATAATCAACTCAAAGTTGCTGTTTTTTTTTTGTTTGTTTTTTTTATGAGCCCTATGTGGCAGCAATTCCAGACAATGTCACTGATAAAATATTCCTCTTAGAATCAAAACAGCCTGGTGCTGGCATAAGGACAGGCATATAGATCAATGGAACTCAACAGAGAACGCAGAAATCGACCCAAGACAGTATGCACAATTAATATTTGACAAAAGAGGCAAGAGCATACCATGGAGAAAAAACAGTCTCTTCAATAAATGGTGCTGGGAAAATTGGACAGCTATGTGCAAAAAAACAAATCGAGACCACCAACTTACACCACACACAAGAATAAACTTAAAATGGATAAAAGACTTAAATGTAACTCGTGAAACCATAAAAATCCTAGAAGAAAATGTAGGCAGAAAAATCTCAGACATCATACATAGTGAAATTTTCACTGATACATCACCTAGGGCAAAAGAAACAAAGGAAAAAAAATAAGAAATGGGACTACATCAAACTAAAAAGCTTCTGCACAGCACAAGAAATCAGCATTAAAATGAAAAGGGAACCCACTTTCTAGGAGAACAAATTTGTCAATGATACATCATATAAGGGGTTATATCCAAAATATATAGTGTACTCATACAACTCAACAAAAGGAAGACAAACAATCTAATTAAAAAATGGACAGAGGACCTGAATAGAAACTTCTCCTAGCAGGACATACAAATGGCCAGAAGACATATGAACAAACTCTCTACATCTCTAATCATCAGAAAGATTCAAATTAAAACAACTATGAAGTCTCACCTCACACCTGCCAGAATGGCTACTATCAATAAATCCTTAAACAACAAGTGCTGGCGAGGGTGTGGAGAAAAGGGGACTCTAGTACACTGTTGGTGGGAACGCAGACTGGTGCAGCCACTATGGAAAACAATATGGTGTTTCCTCAAAAAATTAAAAATGGAACTGCCATTTGACCCAGTGATCCCACTGCTGGGAATATACCCTAAGAAGCCTGAAACACCAACCAGGAAGCTTATATGCACCCCTATCTTCATAGCAGTGCTATTTACAATTGCTAAGATCTGGAAACAGCCCGAGTGCCCATCAGTAGATGAGTGGATAAAAAAGCTGTAGTACATTTACACAATGGAATACTATGCAGCCGTAAGAAAGAGAGACCTCTTACCCTTTGAAATGACATGGAGGGACCTGGAGAATATTATACTGAGTGAAATAAGCCAGTCAGAGAAAGACAAGTATCACATGACCTCACTTATTTATGGAACATCATGAACAAAATAAGCTGTCAACCAAAATAGATCCAGAGTCATGGAAGTAGGGAACAGACTAACAACCTCAGAGGGATGGGGGGTGGGAGGGGTGAGAAGAGATAAACCAAAGAACTTACATGCATATATGCACAACCAAAGGACACAAACATTAGGCTGGGAAAAGCAGGAGGTGGGTGGGGGCGGGGAGGAGGGAGTCAATGGGAAAACAAGGGGAACATCTGTAATACTTTTGACAATAAAAAAATGATAGTTAATACTGTAATATAATCTCTTGTTTCAGTAAAAAACAAATAAATACCAGAAAAGAAATAGTCCTCTTGGAAAAAAAATCTTTTGCTGGTCAAAGTTCCAAACAATTATATTTCAGTGTTATAAGCTCCAAATTAGCATGCCTTTATTATTACTCATCCTTTCTTAAACCTTGTATTCTACATGGAAGTGATTTCAGGAAACCACTGTTATGCAGTAGGCCCCGGGCACAGGTATGGTCCAGCTCATTTTGAGAGTAAGTTCCTAAGAGTTCAGATTGGTTGGCGCTCACCTCGGCTCAGTCCGGGTCTGCAGTCCCTGCATTGCCACATGTCACTGCAGGACATTTGCGTGAACTGTAACAGCAATTACTGTGGAGACGAAGACCAGAACTCGAGTTACTTCACCCTTCTGCCCCTGTATATGCCCACCTGGAGATTTCATTTTTGTTTAAAATTTAAAATAGCGAAACAGAGCGCAAGCGTGCGAGGTGAAAAACTTTGGCTTGAGAATGTGACATGTGGGGTGAATACATGGAATGTTTGGCTCACTGTGAATAATGTCTTTCAAGTGAAAATCTGGTTTTTCCAATTAATTAATTTAAAACAGGAGAACACATAGAATAATGGTTATTACAGACCATTACATATGATTATTACTGACAGATCATTTTGTGGCAATGGAGGAAGGTGATATAAAAATGATCCCAAATACACTGCGAATACCTCCAGCGATGGGCCGTGTCCCAGCGTGTGCTGATGTGGACGGGGAGGAGGACACCGGACCTGGGTGAAATGCAGTGTCCGCAGCCTCCTTCTGCGTGCCCCTAAGAACTGGTTTTACCTTTTTAATGGTTACATGGCCTGCGAAATCTAAAATACTCACTCTCTGACCCTTCATAGGGGGAGTTTGCTGATCCAGGGACTATGGCATTGGTTCTGGATAAGAGTTTGTTGGGGAGACAGGGGCTCGGGGGAACCAGGGTTGCTGTAGAAGAGCAATTGAATGGATTTGTCTGGGGACTCATCCTGATTTTTCCTGTCTCTCATACCTCTTTCTCATTATTTTTATCTTTTAAATGATTTTATCTCCTAAGTAGCTGTCCAGTTCTCAACTGCTTCACTTCCTGCCCACGCTGCTGCTTCTGGCCTGGGTCCCTCTCCACTCCCGTTGCCCAGACCGCTGGGTGTGATGAGAGCTATCCTGCCTTGTCATTTCAGTTATCTTGCTGATCAAGTCCGCCCCCACGGGCGTGGTTACCGGGCTGGCCCTGCCCTCTGGCTGCTGCCAGGTTCTCCTCCTGCACATCTGCACCCCTGCCAGTCCCTCCTCCTGTCCCCCAATCTTGGCACTTCGCTGTCCTGCTCTGGGAAGCACGGGCAGCTCCCTATACTTGGCACAGTTTCTTTTAAGCTTTTGTGCGTGACCCTCTCTTCTTCCCTCTTTTGGGAACGTACTCTGTCCTTCTAACCTCTTGGTCCTCTTCAGCTCATCCTTCAAAATTCAACTAAACTATAATAGTGAACCTTGACATAGTGAGAAAATCTCCCCTGCAGACAAGTCAAATAGCCACCGTTAGATAGTGTAGATGTTAGATAACTCAGTCCTGGTATAACCACAATGCAAGTCCACCATCAACAGTCAAGTCGCACTGAACTCCGAAGACGTGGGAAGTGTGAATTACACGTGGGGGCCACAACATGGGACATGTGTCATGATCCCTTTGTTGCTGTTAAAGATATGTATCCAGAGGGAAGAAGACGGGAGTGAAACAAAGAAAAATGTTGATGGACATTATTCTTCGGATGACGGTCTTACAAGTAATGTTCACTCCTTTAATTTGTCTCATTGGTCAAAAAAAAAAAAAAAAATCTAAATAAACACATATTAGCTTTATAAGAAACTAAGTTCCCTTTATCTTTTAAACACCATCTGGATCAGCTTCTTTTCTCCATAGATTAGTGGCTAAATGGTAAAGGAGGGGGAAAAGAAGACAGATTAATCCTAGAGCCACTTTCCTTGGGAAGTCTAGATCGTGTGGAGCTCTAGCTTGTACGCATGTCTGCCGCCACCCTCCTCCCCCAAGGAGAGAAGAGCCTGCCTCTGACAGAAAGGGATGAGGCAGCCCTTTCTCTGTGGAGCTCACAGCCCAGAAAACTGCTGCACTGTCAGAAGGGCTGGGGGGCTGAACCTAGAAAGGGTTCGGAGGGTGTTGGTGGTTGTCCGCCTGCAGGCCCTGCTAGGTGCAAGCAGAATCCAAGGAGCCAGGAAGAGCAGCCAGATAACGGGTGTGAGTGGCCTATTTAAGTCATAATGTCGTTTACAATCAGTGGGACAACGCTCAGCTCTGTTTCATAAAACAACACCACTTGGCATTTTCCTAAAGTCCATCTACATGAAAGAAAGACTTTGAAATAATAATACAAAAATTACAGTTTTTCAAATCATGAGTTAAAATAGTGAGCATTTTTCTGAGCAATGTCAAGAACTTTATAGTCTTACTGAATTATTTATTTTATGGGTGAAGAGATGCAGTTGCCATTGAACTGTTCTTGACATTTGCAGTTTATTTAGTCATAAATAAAGGACATTGAGCAACATCTAATGGACTGGTTTTATTCAAGAGGCGCAGCCCTGCATGCAGACCAGTGTCAGATGGAGCACACTGCTGGGGGTGGGGTGGGGGGGGAGGTGCTGTCAGGTACGCAGGAGGAAATTGAAGGTCCACCAGAGCCATCTGCGATTCATACCTAAATCTCTCTAAAAGTCATTCCTGTTTGGATGAATCACAGTCAACCTACTGGCCAACCAGGTTCACTAAAAATCCAAAGTCAAGCCTTGGCCGGTGGCTCAGTTGGTTGGAGCATCATCCCATACACTGAAAGGTCTGGGGTTCAAGCCCAATCAGGGGTCATGCAGGAGGCAACCAATCGATGTGTCTCTCTCACATCGATGTTTCTCTCTCTCTCCCTCCCACTCTGTCTGAAGATAAATGTAAAAGTATCTTTGGGTGAGGATTAAAAAAAAAGTCCCCTTTAAAAAATAAACAAAAATAAAAACAGCCCTGGCTGAACCGACTCAGCGGTTGGAGCTTTGGCCCTAGGACCAGAGAGCCCTGGGTTTGGTTCCTGCTAAGGGTGCGTACCTCAGTTGCAGTTTGTCCCCAGCCCAGTTGTGTTCGTGTGGGTGGCAGCCACTCAATGTGTCTCTTTCATATCCATGTTTCTCTCTCCCTTCCTCCCTCTCTCCCTCCTGCTCTATCTGAAGATAAATGCAAAAAAAGTGTCCTCAGGTGAGGATGAAAAACAAAAAAACAAAAACACCCAAAAGTCAACAGAAGAATAAATGTCCCTCTGCTCCAGCCCAAGTTTGCTTATAGCATGTCAGCATTCCTATAATTATGAGATAGAAGAGTCATTTGCATATTATGGTCCTCCTGTGTACCTGGAGAGGAAGGGCGAATGCGGAGAGAGCTCTGGCCACTCAGCCCCCGGCCGCAAGTCTTTCTTCACCATAAGGCCTTCAAGCTCCCCCCACCCCTTCCTCCATCCTCCGCATGCATGTGGCACACGGGTAAATGGAGGCACTGAGGGTGGGGCTCCCGCTAAGGGCCAGCTGAAATGTTACAGGCCTGTTGGAAGCTCAGCATATAACATCAGGGCCTCACAGTGAAGAAGGTGAAGGAAGGAAGTGGAGAGATTATAGTCAAGGGTAGAAAAGGAATCATAAATGAGGGAAACAATGTAACATATGCAGGCTTCCATATGGAGGTCAGAGTCTCCCGGAGTGCGCCAGAGATTAAAACGGAATTCAATTTCCACAGCTTTGTTAACAGAATATGTCTCATAAGCAAGTTGTTCATTTTTAATTCAGCTATTGTGATTATGTGAGCAGGTGGAGAGCTCATTATAAATAACAAGCAAAGAGGAAAGGGTAAGGTAAAACTAAAATGACAGTCTTCTGCAACGGTGGACGGAGCATGTTGGTAGCACGTTTTCTATTAGATCCTAGCTGTGATGGCATGTCCACCCCCTTTAAAAAAGGGGTTTTATTGATTTTTTAGAGAGAGAGGAAGGGAGAGAAGCACTGATCGGCTGCCTCCTGCACGCCCCCTACTGGGGGTCGAGCTGGCAACCAGCAACCAGGCAGGTGCCCTGACCCGGAATCCAACCGGGACCTCTCAGTCCATGGACGTCGCTCAATCCACTGAGCCACACTGTCTAGGGACGGTGGGTCCCCCTTTAACTTGGCTCTGTAGAAACTTTGCCTCTACACCTGGTTGCCCAGGAACTGTTGAGCCATTAGAGAGAGCACTTGAGGCCAACGGGCTGAAAAGGCTGAAGCAGCCAAGGCTGGTGCTGAGCTGTGCAGAGAAGATGGTGCGGGAGAAACCGGGAGCCTAGCAGGGGGCAACTAAGCATGTAAATGACCCTTCTAGGGCTCGGGGACGGCTCTGGGTGGCTTCTCCACAAAGATCCTATCCAGTTGGTATTAAAGTCCCATTTCACAGATCAGGAAACCGAGGCTATAAACTAGCCAGTAGTGGAGCCCAACTGGAGACCAGCCCTGCCAGATTCCGAAGCTTATTTTACACCCGCCCGCATCTCTGCCTCCCCACCCGCTCACTCACACCCGCACTAAAAACCACAAAGAAGCCAGAGAAGGGGGGAAGGAATCTTTCTAATCCCCACTAATAACCCACACTCATCCTTGTTAATGAGCCCGAATCAACTTTTCCACGGAAAGAAAACGGCTTAACTGGTAAGCAGAGTTGAGCTCCTAAAACATCGTCAATGGCCTGAGCGGCATTTGGCCCCGAAATGGCCGTCCCCCGTCCCTCGCCCCATTTTAGCCCCCCCGCCCTTTCCTCCCTGGGAGCCTTGATCAGAACCAGCTCCTGCGAGCCTTCGGCGGGATCCGGCCTCTGCACCCCTCCGAGCGCCCTCCCGCCTACCCCGGCGCCCCTGCCAGGCACTCCGGGCTCCGGGTGCCGAGACCTCGCGTCCCCTGGCGCGCCTGGAACCTGCCAGGTCCGCAGGGAAGAGGCGCGGCTGGCAGTCCCGGCAGCCTGCACACCCCTGCATGTCCCCAGCCTCAGCCCCGGGTCTCCCCTCCCCGCTCCGTGCCTGGCTGGTTGGAGTCTCAAAGGGGGTCTTGGGAGAAGGCAGGGAGAGCGGCCCGCGGGGCAGCCCGCGCGTCTCCGGCCGGAGCGGTTCCGAGGGAGCCGTGTCCCCGGAGGACGCGAGAGGCCCTGGCCCCGGGGCAGCGAGGAGCGCATCCTCACGCTCCGCCCTGGACCGCGGTCACCGCGCCTGTCCCGGGGTGGCCTCGCCCGCAGCCCGGGGGCCCCTGCCTGGGTGCGACCACCGCACCTTGGAGCATCCCTGCCCGCGACTGCCAGGCAGCCGTTCCCGACCGTGCCCTGGCCTGCGCCGCCCCTTCCCGAGGGTCCCCGGAGTGCCACCCGCAGTCCCCAACGCCAAGATGCCCCCAGAGCCGCCCCATCTCCCGGGCCCGCGGCGCCCCGCGGCCTCGGGATACTCACCGCCCAGGGCGCGTGGGGCTGCGGCCTCACTGGGCTCCCGGCCCGGATCCCTGAACTCGCTGCTCCCCTCGGAGCCCCCTGAGCGGCTGGGCGTAGAGATTTGTTGCGATGTCGCCTATCATCCTGGATTTGTGGGCGCCTGCTGCTCGGCGCTCCACCCGGCTCGGTGCGCTGGGCGCGGGGCTCCGGGCTCCTCTGCCGCTTGACGCCGGCACAGGTGAATGTCTGGTGGGGCTCTGAGCTCCAGGCCTCCGTCCGTGTGTCTTTAAAAAGGGTGCTTTTGGAGGTGGCCCGAACCTAACCTGAGCTCCCTTCCAATCAGTGCAATTTCAAATCTCCAGGCTCGTTCATTCCTGTACCGGCTAATTCTGGTTTGACAGAAAAAAAAATTGCAGTCACCTCACGTGCACACTCTTGTGGCCGGTCGTAGTTTATGGCTTTGGCGGAGGTTCGAATGCTCTGCACATTTTCATTACTGCAGGCAGGGGCCTGAAACCTAACGCAAGATGCAGGCGAGAACAGCGGTTTCTTCCATTTCTCCGAGATAGGAGACACCTGATGAAAGAGACCCCCACCCAAGTCGGGCCACAAAATATGGCAGTCTGTAGATGGAAAAGACTGAAAACCCCTTCGTGCCATGCTGGGTCTCTGGCTGCCTGCTTTTTCTCCAGTATGTGACTTTGGTCATTCCTTACCTTCTTTCATGGGCACTATGGACAAATTTCATTTCCACCCGTGACTCCCCTGTTCCCCAAACAATGCGTTGCACATGGAAAGTTGTCAATATTTGTGAAATGAATGTGCGAATAAAGAAAGCCAGGGCTAGTTTACCTGGCCTGGAGGATTTTGTACCTTAGTAGTTTCCTATTGCTGTTGTAATCAGTGGTCATAAACCCAGGGGCTGCAAACAGCCCGGGTTAGATATCTTACAGTTCTGGAGGTCAGAAGTCTGAAATGGGTACTTGTTGGCTAACCTCAAGGTGTTGGCAGGGTTGTGTTCCTACTGGCAGTTCAAGGCAAGAGGCACCAGCTCCCTGGCTCATGGCCACTTCCTCTGTCTTCAAAGCCAGCAATGTTGCATCATTGTATGCCTTTCCCCTAGAGTCACACCACCTTCTGTCTTTCCTATCACCCTCTCCCCCTTTTAAAGGCTCTTCGATTGCACTGGGCCTACTCAGTGGTAACTGGGTTATTGGATAATCCAAATAATCTCCTTGTTTTAAACTCAGCTGATTAGCGATCTTAATTCCACCTGTGACCTTAATTCCCCCTTTGCCATGTAAGGTAACATAATCACAGGGTGCAGGGATTAGGATGTGGACATCTGTAAGGGACTGTTATTCTGTCCACCACAAATTTCCTTCTTTGTTCCTTTCTTGTGTTGTTTTTTTTTCCTTTCTTGCAAAAAAGAATAGTCACATGTATTTTACATTGCCACTTATTTCAAATCTTGATTAAAAGACAATTGAGAACATTGCGAGAGATTGTGGCTGAGGACATTTTGATGAGGACTGGCCTTACGGGTCCAAATATTTTACTATTGCTCATCAGAACATGAGCAATTGGGTGCTTAGTGTTCCCTTGGGCTGTCCTCCAATATCGTCCATTTTAGCCAGGCTTTTGACAGCATGTCACGATCGTGGTTCCCAGCAAATATCTCAAGCTCAGACGATTCGTTTTATTTGAAAAGAAGTATGTAAGACTTTTAAGTCTGGTTTTGTTTTCTCTGAAATCTAATAGACTTATTGAAGTATAATTGATATAGTATGAACTGCACATATTTAAGTGTACAATTTGATGAGTTGTAGCATTAGTCTGTGGAACCATCACTTCAAATAACTCCAAAATTTTCCTTGTGCCCTTTGTAATCCGGTCCTCACTCCACCTCCACACACCCAGGCAACCTCTCATCTGCTGTCTGCAAAGCTTCTACTCTGGACCATACTCTAGATGTGCACTTCACATCTGAGACCCCCACCCAGCTGGTGAAGTATAATGGACAAGTAACATTGTATATATTTAAAGTATACAGTGTGATGATTTGATACACATATGCATTGTGAAATGACTACCATAGTCAGGTTAATGAACACATTCATCACTTCACATCGTTAGCTTTTTTTGGTGGTGAGAATGCTTAAGGTCTATTCTCTTAGCAAATTCCAAGTGTACAATACAGTATTGTTTACTACAGTCACCATGGTGTACATTAGATCCCCAGAATGTGTAACTGGCAGTTTGTTCCCTTTGACCTACATCTTCCCATTTCCCCCATCCCTCAGCCCTTGGCACCCACCATTCTCCTCTGTTTCTGTGAGTCTGACTTTTGTTTTTAGACTCCACAAATGAGTGAGATCACACAGTATTTGTCTTTCTCTGACTAGCTCATTTCACTTAACATAATGTCCTACAATTTCATCCACATTGTCACAAAAGGCGGAATGTTCTTCTTTTTGGTGGCTGAATAATATTCCATTGTATGCATATACCACATTTTCTTTAGCCACTGAGCCAATGAGAGACAGTTGTTTCCATATCTTGGCTTTGTAAATAACGCTGCAATGAACACGGGAGTGCAGATGTGTGTTCAAGGTCCTGATTTTCCTTTCCTGCTGAAGGCTGTTCTGATAAATCATTCATCTCATCTGCCCTACAACACAGATGAGTCTTGAAAATGTAAGGAAAAGTGAAAGGTCAGTCATAGAAGACCGCATAGAGCATGATTCCATTTATATGAAATGTCCAGAATAACCACATCTGCAGAGAAAGAAGTAGATTGGTGGTTGCCCAAGGGCTACGGATGTTGGGCAGAAAACAGAGAGGAACTGCTAATGGGTAAGGGCTTGCTTGGGCAATGAAAATGCTCTAAAAGTGACTTTGGCGATGGGATGTGAAAGTCTGTGAATACCCTAAACATGATTGAATTACAAAAATCCAAAACAAAACCAATAACCTAATTTAAACTCTTTCCCAAACTGAATAGAGTGGACCATATATGAACCAGTCCTGAGAATGGGTTATGATCTAAGCATAATGCTGAATCTACTATGTACCCGAAGTCCAAGATTCAGTGACTATCTTCCTTGGCCTCATCTTAAGCAATAACTTTCATGTAGTCGTGGTTGCGATGTTCCAGATATACATCTGTCCAGTGCACAGAAATAGAAGATCCTACCTATTTTAAAGTGTGTCAGCCTATCTCCTGCTTCATGGTACTTGCCACCTTCCCACTTGTCTTGCTGCCCAGACACACCTATGTCATGGGCAGGCTGCGACAGAGCCCTCGTGTTTTCCTGAGTACCTGGGGTGTGAGATTACAGGAAAAGGCCATTGCTTTCCATAGGGCTGTTCTAAACAAAGACACGAGAAATATCCCGGCAGCTCAGATTTGAGTTTTCTTCCTGGTCTTGGACCTCCCCAGACTTCATCTCAAAACACACAAAAAACTTCTGCCCCTGGTAGTTTCCAGCCTACACTTACCATGAATTTAAATGCAAAGGACAGATCGCGGTGAATAGATACATAGCAAACTCGGGGACCTGTTTCTGTCTTTACATTCATCTTCTGAGTTTTTTACATTTTCCTTTCTGATAACCAGTAGCCTCGTGTAGTAGCATATGGTTTCATAAGAGTAGAAGGTCTAAAAATTCCAGTTCTGTCACTAAGTTGGAAATTAAACACGTTCTCACACATGAGTCTTGAAGAAGTAAGGCTTGGTTCATGGTGGTTGTATCAGTGTTGTTGATTATTAGAATACATTATTTGTTTAACTTTTATGAAATCAAGGCTCTTATTGGCAAACCATTAAAATGTTTTCCTGCAGCTATAGGTTTTTCTTCTTTTATTTAATACCCATGTTCCTAAAAAGTGTATTGTAGATCAAATATTATTTTAAATGCTCTCAGGTTATTCATTGATGGAAATGCGTGGGGAATCCTTCTGAGGCTAGAAAAATCCTCATGTACTGATATATTTATATACCAAACTTACGTTTCATGGGTTAGGATTTAAATTTTATTATTTCCCTTAAAGCAGAGCACACTTGCAACTTATACTATTTTTAACATATTTGGAGTGTTCAAAAATGGATCACTGGCATTAAACATCCATGCTCAATGCTCAAAAAGTCAACTACACATCATATGCTTTGAGAATGTCATCAATAAATAGGACCAAGTTTGGGACACCATGAATACGGATGAGAAAGACCTAGCACCTTCCTCTTTTTAGGTGTGACCACAGTGTGGCCTTCTTTGCAGTAACAAATGTTTCTGATGTAACCAGTTGAGACGTGGATGCCATAAATCTAAGAAGGAAAGAATCTGCTGAGAGAGCACTTGAACCATTCTCTCCTTGCAGGACAGGTTTTATCTGATAAAATTAATACAAGCTATTGAAGGATGATGTGTGGTTTAAGGAAGAATCGGTAAACAGGTTCTTTTACTTTACACAGGAGGAAGATGGTTCTCTCTTTTCTATGATCATTTTTGGTGGATTTCTTGTACTTCTACCCTGTACCTTTAAGCTGGACAGACAAACCTAGGAAAGCTCTTAGCCAGAGATCAATCAGAATGGGCTGTAGCCCTTCAGCCCTGTTGTAGCAATGTTCTCAAACCTCTGTCTGTCCTGCCCTTGACCTTGGGCTCCCTCCATTCTGTTTTCTACCTGACTCATATTGACTCGGTTTGCGACTGAGGTTCCAAGTTCTTCCCTTCACCTTGGTGGCGGTAAATCTTCCAGCCCATGCTGTTTCTGTAACCTTGCTCACCAGGCCAGGCCCCCAGCTCGGCCCACTACCCTGACTCCCCTGCAAGAGAGGATCAGATGATTTCGATGTATTGCGAAGGCCGAAGGCCAGCATTAGGAAACCCTTAGGACTGTGTAACCAGTGATTACAAAAATCAGGAGCTGGCTTCTTCCTGGCTGTGAAGAGGCAGAGCCTGTGTGACGGAGGCCGAGAGCCCACGGTGCCGAGGTGGTCAGGTGGTGAGGTCAGTCCGACCTGAGCTGGAAGCCCCGCTCCTCCCCTCTGCATCTGTGTGGCCTGGGCACGGGCCCCAGCTTGGGCATGATGGCAGTACTGTACTCCATCGAAGCTTTATTGTGACGGTTAACTAAGATAATGCATGGGGTGCACAGTGCTGGGCATATCATGAGGGAACTTGGCTTTAAAGTAGCAGTAACGGTGTCATCCAAACACATTCTACTTGGGAGCAAATGCCTCACAGCAGCGCCCTTCCGAGAGGCGGCATAAATTAGTGCTTGAGAGCATATGCCCTGGAGTT